GCATTATGCAAATCTTCCCACATAGTGAGGTAGACATGTGGGGGCGTGTTAGAACGAGCCGTTTTAGGTAGGCATGGTTGACTCTTAACTTTTATAAAGAATATCTCTTTGGATTTGAGACTTTAGTCTTTGCAACTTTACAGATCTTCTTTATGCACCAAGAGCTTGTAACACTCCAAAGAGAAAGGAACACTTGAAATCGCATCATATGACCCCTTTAAAATGATTTACACAGAAACTTGTCTTGTGTTTCATTATCCCTGATCCCTTCTCTGACTCAAGATCTAGAACATATACATTCAACAATATCACATTCATACTGCATTCATATTTTGTGCAGAGATATCATACAGCACATTTGCATACACAATTTTATTTTAATATATGCTCAATATATGTTGTAAACATAAAGCTCAATAAAATATATTATTTAAATTGGAAATATACCTAAATATATGCATTTCATGGGCAAGAAAATAAAAATGGATGGAATAGCTTACTAGAGATCAAAACTAGATTTATGATGATTTAATCATGTCTAATTTTTATATATTGTAATAAATGAAAATATACGCATAAATATTTTTTGAATATTTGATATTATATTATATTTTTATATTTTATTTGAAAAAAAAAATCAGGTCATCACAATCAATCAGACCTTTTGTTAATTTAGGACACTTGTACTATTTTGCAGCATGCAGTAATATAATAATTTGCTCATTTTCAGTATGCATTGAATACCTAGGCCACCTAATACAGTATACTGAGTTAAATTTTGAAGTGTATAGTAGAAAAACCTGACATTTATAGTTACAAACTGCATACTATTTAACATTATTCAAATAACAGGCACTTATAGTATAACCTCTTCAGTATGCATTAAGCAGTATGCTAGCATTCCAGTCCAAACACATCTAGAGTCAGTGATTCTTAACTTCAAAATACTAAGATTGATCTGCTGGAATGTCAAACACTGGCACTGCACTGCATTAGCTGCTTTATTTAACGCTTTAAACCTGGTGTGTGTGTGTGTGTGTGTGTGTGTGTGTGTGTGTTCTCTGGTTCCATCCTGTTTATAAAGCCAGTCAAGTGACTAGTTATGATGGCATTTACATTTGATTACTTTGGCGCAATATAAAACATCAGAGATGTGGGCGTGTCCTGGAACGCTGTACATGTTTGGAGTTTGTAGACGCTCCATAAGGCTCTTCCCATATACGGGGACGTCGTTTAGGGACCGTCTATAAATTGCGCCGCTGAGGTCGGAACGCGCACTCACGCCCCGTCAAACGCCGAGATCGACGCCGACCCGACTCTCCCGCAGGTAATAACGCAAATCCGCACGCATTTGACTGCAGCTGTGTGCTTTTCACGTTTGAGTGTTGCTGGCACTTTCTTTGGCGGTGTTGAGCTCTGCTGGAGCGAGTTGAACTCTAGTGTGGAGCTGCTGCTTCCTGATTGGAGCGGCTGATCCGAGATCAGTTCTGCTGCCGGAACTCGCGAACGCTTCCGAACGCGTCTTCTGATCCGGGATCTGCAGAACCTCCAGCAAGGGCTGTGGTGTTTAATATGAATGTGTGAATAAGTTTGCTGTTCGGAGGGATTGTGTGTTCTGTGGAGATTCCTGCTGAGCGCAGTTTGAGAAATCGGAACCGATTTAAGACACGACGCTCAAACGTTCTAAAAGTAAACCGAATGACCTTCACGCTTCCGGTGGAACCATCACTGAATATTCAGTGAAATATTAATCACCGCGTTTGGTCAGAAACATTACGGTTAAACTTATACGTTTTATAGTGACCATAAGCAGCGTTTATGACATTTAACGCCGTGTTTCTAATGTGGCTGTGAATATATTTAATTCACTAAATAGTTAGGCTATTAAAAAAAAGTTAAAGGGCTAAAGTCCGCACGCGCGCTCAGAGTCTGTTATTATTGCGTCATAATGCGAGTTATTTAATAACTGATTGCTGCGGTTCGTGGGCAGCTCCGCGCGCGATAAGATGCTGTGCTGTGATTGGTGATTGACTGACTGTGTTCGTAGAAAAGCTGAAAATGTTACGAAATTGTGATGCAAGTCTGTAAAATGCAAGAGAATAAATGCCTAAAATGGTACCTGATGGTCAAAAATGGAAACTTGCTTTAGCAATCTCTAGAATATGAAAAATCTTTAAATTGGTTAAAAGTTTCTGAACCCTAAAGATCAACTTTGCATGTCTGTCAGTGATAAGTTACATTTGCATTCTATATCTGGCAGAAAGCTGCAAAACATTTTTTTTTCTTTTTTTACTAATAATTTGCTTTAAATTAAATTTTACCTTGCACTCATGACGATCTGATGCAGATTATTAATGAACTAAATAGTATGAAATCAAAGTGTGTGTTAGTGGAGTACAGTGTCATTGCTCGCATGCAAAGGTCAGTTGAACACAAAGGTCAGGGTTCAGCAAGGCTTGGTAAAGGTCATATAAAGTTGTCGAGGTATGACAGAGATTACTCACACACACACACACACACACACAGTCTTTTCTGTCTTCTGCTGTAGCCGCTCTATTAATAGAGAAACCTCCGACTGTATCGGTGTCAGACAGCTGAAGGGTGTACAGTATTTTATGGTTTGTGCAGATGTTTTTAATCCTAATAATCTTTTTGGTTATTCATGAGCAAAATGATTTCCAAATCAAAACTGCTGACATTTTTAGACGTGCAGTCTGAACAAACACAAAAATCAGGACTTAATTCAGTGAGTCTAAGCAGTCACAATTGTTCTCAGTCGAAATCTGTAATCAAAAGTGACCGATCATAGGAAATGAATCAAAAAGACCTTAATGCAGAGCAGTTTTTTTTTGTAAATGTTGAATTAACCTATTTACCAGCCAAAATATTGAATTCAAAAGATTCGCTCACACAGTGAAATGAATGAGTGTCTATGGCGACGCATTACTGCCAAAAGTTCACTTAAAAAAATAAATAAATAAATAAAACTACCAAACTTTCATAAATAATAGTTGGATAATGTCTAAATATCCAAATGTATAATTTCTAAACATAAAATCTACAATTCTTGCTTTGTCCATGTACTTTCTATTATGGTCATAACATGATTTTGACCTGGTATGCAATTTCTTTCTTTTTATTTATTTATTTATTTATTTATTTTTTTATTTTTTTTTTTTCCTTCAGATGATGGCAATATGGCTCAAATACATGATAATTGATCATATTTTCTTTGCAACTTATAGAAATAGTTGTTTAAGTATTTCAGGAACATTGGTTTAATATAATTGTGACTGAATGGTCTCTGTCTCTCTCAGGATGTCTATTAGTAAGATTCATGCTCGTGAAATCCTCGACTCCAGAGGAAACCCCACCGTCGAGGTGGATCTGTACACGGCTAAAGGTACAAACACACAATCACTCTGACTGTCTATCAGCCCTAGTGACAGCACAACTGTTTTTATTCTTTAAACTCCAAAATTAAACTTTTATACCATATTTTGTCAAGCCATCATTCAGAGTTCATCTTGAGGAAATGTTCCTTCTCTAGTTTGTAATTGATTGATTTTGTTTCCAGGTCGTTTCCGGGCGGCTGTTCCCAGCGGCGCTTCCACTGGAGTTCATGAGGCTCTGGAGCTCCGAGACGGAGACAAGACACGCTACCTGGGCAAAGGTACATCTACCTATAACACACTCTCACACTCACTCTCACACTCACTCTCGCACTCGCACTCGCACTCGCACTCGCTCTCACTCTCACTCTCACTCTCACTCTCACGCTCACTCTCGCGCTCGCGCTCGCGCTCACTCTCTCGCACTCGCACTCGCTCTCGCTCTCGCTCTCACTCTCACACTCGCTCTCGCGCTCTCGCTCTCGCTCTCGCACTCACTCTCGCTCACTCTCGCGCGCGCTCGCTCGCACTCGCACTCGCTCTCGCTCTCGCTCTCGCACTCGCACTCGCACGCGCTCTCGCGCACTCGCACTCGCTCTCGCTCTCGCTCTCGCTCTCGCACTCGCTCTCGCTCTCGCTCTCGCACTCGCACTCGCACTCGCTCTCGCTCTCTCTCTCTCA